TAGGGACACTGTCTGCTCTGTGGTACAGAGTCCTGATCACTCCTAACTTGTGTTCCAGTGGGTGGTGGGAGTCAAAACGCAAATATTGGTCTGTTGGAAGTCTACTTGTTAGCAAAATATATCATGAACCAGTTGATGGTTTCTAATGAAACTTTAGCAAAGTAATCATTAGAKTGATAACTACAACTGATCACATTTTGAACTCACTCCAACTCATGATGGCCACCACGTCTTGGTAACTTAAGACAATAAAAATGGTGACAGCACAGCCAATTTATAAGATTACAAGCTAAAGTTGAAGTGGTAGTAGCTGAGCATACAACACATTGAATGCAACAAATTGCGCACACCCTTTACTTGAAATCAGTTTTGGTAGTTTAAAAAATCTAACTGTAACTCAACATTTAAACACTCCTATCATCTTATCTAACATACAGTAAGACGCCACAAAAAAAAAGTATTTCATGTTGAATTATTTCATGGTTTTAGGAGCATAAAGAAAACACAACTAAAGCAGAAAGCTGGAAACCTGAAAAAAAACGGCACAAGACTCAAAGACAMGCTGCTAATGGTGATCAAATATCATCAACTTTATTTTTACTAGCTGTCTTGTAGTAAAACAGAGAATTACCACAAAAATGTTTGTTATGAATCAAAACTAGAAAAACATCAAATTCAGTTAAAACTGACTGGCACAGATCAGCTGCAGTGTTACTTTTACAAATAAAAATACTTCAGTATATTTTACTTGAAATGATTTTTTTCTTGTGCTAAATGAAGAAAAAAATGTAGTGAGCAGAAAATGACACATCAGCCCCCCGCTATATACTTCTAATTTAACCCTTTCAGAATAAAAGCCTTTCTTCGATTATGTTTGTATTGATATAGAAACCATTTGACATTAGTCAAACAACAAATAGTAAATACTTTACCATATTTAATATGTAGTCAATGTTTGTATTTGTTCTTTAAATACTGTTAAATGTTATTTTATTTATTTGTGATGCTCTTAGTTTGAAGTTTAGCTGTTAAAGATGCTACTTGCTATACACAGTGCCTGGCACATCCAGCACTGATTGTAAAAGAGGGTAGTTTTCATTTAATTTAGAATAAATGGCATAAAAGTAGAAGTTTTACACTTGTGAAATTTATAGTGGACTTGAAATTAGCAGAAGTTAATCAGTCCGCTAAAAATTTCCAAAGTTAGCTAAAAAGCTAATCTGCTAAATGAGAAACTAGTTCTGCTATTTGCAGATTAGCGGTTTAGCAGAACTGTGCTCACCACTGACTCTGAATTACTTTTGCTCTGTCTAAAGAAGCACTTTTTGTGAATAGCCAAGTCATGTCATCAAAAGCTGCTCAAAGTGCTCTGCCTATAAATCAAACCAGACAAGATGCAAATTTAAAAAGATTGCAAAAAAGCTGACATTATCTTCTTTTCTTCTCATAAAGTGCGTTTTCGATTTGTTGTCATTCGTGACATGAAAACTCAAGCCGCGTGCAGACTTTCCACGCCATTTCCTGATCACGTCTGCACATTCWAAAACATTCCCAGACCAATTTTTAAAACATCCGTGCTCCTTCATCGCGTAAAATCGTGAAAGCGTCTCACTTCTGGCCGACGATGCCGCGTGCGATGAGCTCCTTCATGATCTCGTTTGTGCCTCCGTAGATAGGCTGAACRCGCGAGTCCACGAACGCCCTAAAATCAAACAGAAAACGGACCGTTATCAGACCAGAACGCAACACAAAATCTCTGATTCCTCGTGGGTCGCCACCTACTTGGCAATCGGGTATTCTAACATGTAGCCCCAACCTCCATGGAGCTGCAAGCACTGAGTGGCCACCTTGTTCTGGAGGTCCGTCGTCCTTGAGATAAAATAAAAAGGCGCTCAGCACAAGACGAGTTTAGATGAGAAGTTATTGCACTCAAAGTATTCTTACCAGTACTTGGCCATAGAGACCGTCGAGGGATCCAGCCGCTTCTCAGCAAAGAGCTGGATGCAGTGATCAACGAAGGCTCGGCCCACACAGATCTCAGTCTTCAGCTCTGCCAGCTTGTGCTGCACGGTCTGTGATATAAAACATATTGTTATTTCTCTGTAAAGATAATAGGAGTACAACGTTAATCTATTTAGTGAATTCAGTCTAATGACAAGAAGAAGTTAGGAAATCTGATGTAAAATGTTGGGTGTTGTTCAGTCTTAGCCRGAAAAGGCAGAGAGAGAGATGCAAATTCAAAAGGTTCTCTACAAATTCAAGTGTTGGTGAAAATATGGTCTAAATATGGTAATTCTGAAAGAAAAAAATAACAGTGACAATACCATTTAGCATTAAAGAGATTTAACACTGGTGATCATTTTGAGTTAGGGCTCCAATCGCTTTTTTACAAACCCTCATCTGAAAATACCAAACACACACAATGCTCAGACTAAGGCTTAAGTGTTAAAATTTGTTACTGATTAGCTGTGCACTTACACCTGTGATTATAAATTGATTTGAGCATGCTCAATAAAAAAAAGAAATGGTGGCATCACATCTCTTGTCGTAGTGGGTGTGCTGTTGTCAGTTCACWGAGAMAAAKAGGTTTTTCACTGTCCTCTGTCCCAAGTTACCAGGTTATCGGTTATCCTTTCTTTAAAGGGGCAATACAGTATCATGTAAAATCAACTTTTTTGTGTTTTATATCATGTTATAATGTTATACTCTCATAAAAACATGCCCAAAGCCTTGCTTTGCCTCATTCAAGCATGTTTGAGAAATCCTGCAGTGTTTTTATGAAGCCATGCTGAGKWGCAAAACGACMRGTGGGGMCCAGAAACRCCTTTTGGKACCAGAAACGCCCCTGGGACGTGTCTTTAAGCCGAAATTCCTCATGGCAGAGCGCACCCCCCCCCCCCCCCCCCACCCACCATCTCACACACACACACCCCGCCCATGACTCCTGCAGGGTCTCGGGTCAAAGTGAAAGTGAAACCTAGCTTCTGAGCTCTCAACATCAATTCTCACTCAGTGAAGCTCTTTTCAGATTAAAAATACTAGGAAATGTATTTTCAGATGCCAAGTAAACTGCATCATAGCGCACGCGCACCCCCCCACCACCCCCCGTGCGTGTGATACTTTATTATGGTATAGTTTTTAAATATATGCCTGAGAAAAACATAATATAGTCCCTTTAATATGGCAGCTTCAATATTAACAAAACATGCCACAATTAGTAATGATGGAAAACCATCACAGTCGTCCAGGTAAATCTATGATAATGAAAAGTTTTCTAAAAAAACATAAAATAAAATCTGAGGATCCCGGACGAGCCCCCAAATACATATCCCATATGTAAATGCCGAAATCTTGCGTGCTATTTTTAACAGATTTTATTTATTTTTTACTTTTTAAGAAAAGTACTTGAACATACAGACCTGCAAGTGAGAAATGGTCTTGCCAAAAGCCTTTCGCTGCATAACATAGTTCCTGGTTTCCTCAAACATGAACTCACAGCTCGCTATGGCCATGTCAGCAACCAACAGACGCTCCTAAGGAACAAAAAAATGTGGCTTAGACCAGAGATTCTTACCCTATGGGCCGCGGTCCACGAGCGCCACCTTGAGGGCCTCAGAAGAACAACAGTTTTTAACTTTGGGCCGCAGAGGGCTGTGGGACCGCATTGATTTTGAATAAGATGCAATACACTTTCTCACCACTAGTAGCAGTAATGTGCCACTCAAATGTTCAACAACTTTTTTAATATGTAGAAGAAGAACCTTAGAAACCTGCCGAGAATGGAAACTTATTTTAAATGAAAAGTAGAAGTAAAAATAAAGGTAACCCATCAAAAAAGGCCAAAATTTTTCACTAAGTACAGCTTTTAGTTCTATCATACAGTATTTTAAAAGTTCAAAACATTATCAAATACAGTTGCATATACTGCTATATTTTAATTTGCACTTTATCAAATTAATTTTTGTAGTTTATTTTTTTACATTTTTAATGTATTTTAAAGAAACTTTAAACTTGTCAAAAAGCTGTTGTTACTGTTATTGTTTGTCACTAATATGAAGAGCAGCTTCTG